ACATACTTTACAGTTTTATTCAGTGAACAAAACTAGTTCAGATGTCATCACATGACCTAACAGAAGAAGTCATATGGGTTTTGGGTTCAAATTTGCAGCTCTGAAAGAACATATATCTCTGATGAAGGCCACTAGGCCTTTATTTATTGATTTAATTTATTGGTGAAACAGAAATGTGTTGACTGAAGTGTGTGTGCTACCTTTTTACTTTAGTATATTTAACAGTAACATGAAATATATATCTGAAGGAATATATATGTTCACCAAAAACAAAAAAATAACTAAAGAAAATGGGTCAATGTCTGAATTAGTGGCACTGGAACTCCCCTCAATGAGTACAGGAAGCACCATTGACCATTTATGATATACAATATGTTACATCCTGGTTACAAGGTCACTGAAAAACCATGAAAGTGACAGAAACAGTCACGGTGCAATAATTCTGTTGAGTTATTAGTCTAATCAACAGGATTTATATGGGCCAATACTGAGCTGAACAGTTCAAACCAGCAACAGACTATAAACACTCAGAAGCACCAACCTATTGTGAATAGAGCTGTCATGACCTGATGATTCAAATGGTGACTACAAATCTTTGTACTGAACTGGATTAAATGATCAGTATCAGTAAAGTATGTTTATTTTCTATTTTCCACCTCTTAGCGATGACCTCATGTAATACACAATACAGAGAGGGTGTGGTGGATGTTGTCAGAATCCCTGCAGCACATTTAGGAACTATTCCCATCACGAGAGGCCGGTTCCTGTTTCAGAGCATACAAGGTTAGAGGGGCTTGCGGCGATGGTAGTGAGGATGCCACATGACTGTGTGAATTAAAATGCTGCAGAGAAGCACAGCACAGCCCTGGGCAACTGTACTTTTATTCTCTGTTCACTCTCCACAGATTGCTGTACAGACCAACAGCACACCCTTTTAAAGTTATATTTACACTATGTAGTATTTTGAAGCAAGTGCAGAGGAAACAGAAATTAATTTATACACTTTTTCCTTGAGTTCTCACTTAGATTCCTTAAATATCATAATTCCCATACTGACATATGAACATTTATTATGTCATAGGAACAGGCTCATGTTGAGCACTAAATGAAATGTCAGGGGATCATCAAAGTCATTCTGATTCATCCTCTGGGAGCCATTAATGTCTGTAGCAAACTTCATTATAATCTATCCAATAGTCCAAACACATTTTAATCTGCAGGCCGTCCCAACCAGCCAAACATCCCTGGAGCCACGGTGCCTAAAATAGATTCAAAAGTTCAGTTCATAGGCCTGTAGTCAGAGGGTCAGGTGGAGCAACACAAAAAGAGGACCCAGTTTGTTTCCTAACAATAAGGTTAAATTGCTGTTACATAATAACCATTGCATTTGTTTGCACACCTGCACAGAAACAAGTGATGTGCATGAAGCTGCAACACAAAAATAAGTTCAGTAGCCAGCAGTACAATGTGCAGGAGGCAGGCAGAGAAAAAGAAAACAAATAAAATGCATAAATAAGAAAGATTATGAGTAACTGAAAAAAAGGCTTTAAAGGTGCGTCGGGAGTTTTTGAATGATTCTATGGTTTTAGATGTTCTGTAGTGTGCAGTATGAGCTGAACATACTAAAGTAGCAGTAATAGTACAGTATGTTAGCAGGACAGCGGACCAGTGGAAACAAACATGGCAGTTTTTCCTGAAGGCAAAATGAGCTGATTGTGATTTCAAAAAGACAATCGACTCTCAAAGCAATGAAAGCTTGTATCTTTCCTGTTTTTTTTTTTTTGGTTTTTTTTTAGCGATGCAAAACCCTTCCCACTGATGAATCTTAATTTGTTTGGAGAATGGGAGCAGAGGGTTTTGGCTGGCACTCACGGTATAAAGGCCTGACAACTGTGTGAATACAGATTAGAAGTTACATAACAGTGAGTAACACTGGCTGCTCTGTGCGGCTCTCATAAGGTACATTAAACAAAACACGCAACACACACAAACACACACACACACACACACACACACACACACACACACACACACAGTATATTTACATACCAGTGGTGGAAAGTAACTAAGTACATTTATTCAAGTACTGTACCTAAATAACATTTTTAAAGATTCCTGTAAAATCCTACTACAGCATCCAACTACAACATTAAAGTGCCACTTACATGTAAATGCATCAATAATAATGACCACAATATAATGATATAATACTGACAGAGACCATTCTGCATGATATTGAAAGTGTATTTTGTATAGTGCTAATACTTCTGAAATTTTACTTATAAGCAACATTTTAACTTTGATTATTTTTACATTGTGGCATTACTTAAATTATCTGAATATATTTACACCACTGATACGTCCAGTGTCTGCTCATATACACTCACCGATACTTCAAAAGTATGCAGATTAATATCGTCTGGGCTCATTCTCTTTGGCTCTCTTTTCGTCACTAGTTTGACTGTATGTATGCATATTAATCGATCTGTCTTAGTATTCAAAGTTCAATCAAGGGCTTGACATCACATAAATATCGCCCTGATTGCCATTTAATCTGCTTTATCAAGGATTACTGGAGCTTCAACACCAATGGTCCTATTTCCCTGATCTGATGTTTGAGTGACTCTTTGTCTAACGCCACCTAAATCTACACAAAACCTTCTCCATTTCAGACAGTCTACAAGCTTTCCTCTAATTCCACCAATATCCAATAAGTCACAGTCTGTCTCATAAGCTAAGAGGTTGACTACACTCCCAAAGGAATTAAAGCTTTTAATTATAATGCAGCCGTGCCCTTCTTCCGTGCACCACCCTCAGACCAACTGTCTGTAAGAACTGCAAAGTCATCAGCTGAGCATAAAAAGTTCATTTGATCTTAGTAAAAACTAGTTTGGCAAAACAGCCTTAACTCAAAGTCAACCTACTACATTGTTTCCAGAGCTTTCGACTTTACAGTCAATTCCAATTTTGCACAACAATCAGTTTGTTGTTGTTGTTTTTGTCACTTTGGTGTTGTGATAGTGGGATAATTGCATGTCTGCTGTAAGTGTTAGTAGGGTTAAAGTCTGGTATGTCTTGTTGGCTCTTCTGTACTGCTGCCGCTCACACAATCCCGGGGAAATTCTTCTCTAGGGTTCAGTTTAATCCTGAATAGTGTTAGTGGTGGAATAACTATTCAGGTCCTGATACCACATTGTGAAAATACTCTACTACTACAAGGAAAAGTCCTGTGTACAAATCCTTAAAAGTAGTGAAGTATTATCAGCAAAATGTGCTTAAAGTATAAAAGTAAAAGTGCTTATTTAGCGGTAAGAAGTGCTTTTACTTCCCAGCACTGTTTCACTTTTATATTTGATGTTTTGGAATTAATATTATTGCTGCATTAATGTGTATCTTTGCATTTTACTGCTGTAGATGTTTAAGGTTGAGCGAAAGTTTACTACCATACTGATGGGAAGTTTAATCTACAGCCAATGCATCATCCTATAAGATCATCATGTCAACTTTTCATGAGGGCAGAAAGACAACCCACGAAGAAACACTTCATTTTATCAAAAATAGTAAAAAAGTAACTAAAGCTTTCAGACAAATGTAGTGAAGTAAAAATAGAAATTTGCCATTGAGATAAAGTAAAATAGAAGAAGGCTAGCATGAAATACAAATTCAGACACCTCAAATTTATGTTTAAGTACCATACTGTTACCACTGGATGTAAGTTAGTGTTTGTCAGCTCAATGAAACCAGATGATAACCAGATACTGCTTTTGAGAATATGAGCAGTGTCCTCTTTCTTCGGGCAGAGACTTTACCAACAGATATGAATGAATGTTGTATGGGAGAGTGATTTTCATCGTTTGAATGACTGTTCTTTCTGTAATGCCCTGAGATAGTAATACATTGATATTGAACAGTTATTTCTGTACTAATTTAATTGAATTTTATGTCATTGAGACTTGAAAAATCAACAGTAGTCTTCATTTGTCTTTCATTGGTCTTCAAATACATAAGGGGGTTCTTTAGTTGTTATTTACAGATTACAGTTATTGGCAGAAATAATAGTTAAATTTTTCATATTTAGTTGTTAGTAGAAAACTATAGTGAGCCATCAGATCTGAAAGTCAAATCTTTTTCTTTTTTTATGTCTCCAGCAAGTCGATTGCATCAGCACCAAAGGCAACACGACCACGTTGTGAGAAATGCTGTATGCTGCCTTAAAGTACGGTCGGAACTTTCACTGTTAGTACACTTAATTGGTCACGTAGGCGGAATAATGGGGAAATGGCTAACAAAGACTGGATTATAGCACACAATAATAGAAAAGCCAGGATTAATTATACTGAAGCTTTTCATACAAGCCAGTTTCCTCTTAATATGAACAAAGCAGCTTGGCTATATAGGCCTAATGATGTATATTGCCATAAAGGTTTTAAAAATAGATTACAATATCTGGTCTTCCTATTTCCTGCTCTAAGTAGCCTAACTCTGAAAATAAAATAACTCTCTTGACGGACAAATTTGACATTTTGATCATTTAAATTTGAGGCATAACCTGAAGCAGGCCTGCCCAAAGTGGGGTTCAGATGTTTCTAGCACAGAAAATAATGATAATAATTTTTCAGCTGAAATGATTTACTTACCTTTAAAACAGCATATTTGACATTTTTACAACATTTTACAGTATTTAAAAGATTAATGAGTTATGGTTATGAGACTGTTTTCCATCAGTTTCACAGTGACATAATAACCTGCTGTGATACTAATGTTTAATTCTACACTGTTTCTATTTCTGCCAATAGGAAGCTCTTCTGTTTACATTTAGACAACAGACACTGCCTTAAAAAAAAAAAAACTCCCTCGAGTTTGTCATCATTTCCGTGCAGACAAATTCTTGACTCTTGTTTTATGGGCAAGGAGCTCCTGAACGCATCATCGGTTGCTGCGCACCCGAACAACGCCCGCGCTTCTCCACCAATCACAGCCTCTGTCGGGGCTGTGACGTGCAGGGAGTGTGGCTTTTCTGGTGCAGAGAGAGGTCTGGGTTTAAACCTAAAACCGGTTCCACCATCAGGAGACCCGGATAAACTCTAACAAACGCACTTTAACGCGGAACGACCTTCCGACTCGATCACCCTTCATCCATCTCCATGTCAGAGTTTGTGTCTGGGTGAGTAAACTCCTATTTACTACATTATTCCAGAGCAAACCTGTGGTGATAATTATGTCATTTATACCGTAATATATAATAATCACATCATATTTTAATATATTATGTCTCATTTTAGTTGTTATGTTGCCGGTTTATCGGTCTTGAAGTCATTACCGGGTTTCCATCGCTCATTTCACACGGGAAGTTACGTGTGGAGGCTGTAATACTGCCTTAAACTGTAGCTACATCTCCCCCCAACCCACCCACACACCCGAATCCCCGGAGAAATAGATCCACTCAGGTTAATTAAACCGATAATTAAAAACAGGCGCGCGTTATTCCGCGTGAGGATGGCACGCTCCCGAGGATGCTGCCCACCCAGTTCCTTTTACCTGAATTCACCACACAGCAGAGACAAGTGTTCGCCCCCGGGGTGATGTTACTATTAAGAAAGGAAAAAACGTGCTCTTTTGAAATCCGTGAATAGCGCAATAGAAGCGCGCAACAGACTCCCGGTATGACTGAAGGGAAAAAACCCACACTTAGCACATGAACTCCGCCGTGACGTCATCTCCCCCCCAGCCACCACCTCTGTATGAAACAGAAACTCCACTGAGTCACTGACTGGGTGGTATCCGTTCTGCTGCTGCGGGTCGTGTTGGACCACATGTGCGCACAGCATCACTCTGGTGAACCGGGTTAAGTTTGGCACACGTTTCCACATGATGGCACACAATGAGGATTAAATGAAAATAACCTGCTGATATGAAACAGAAATTAGTTTTTAGTTGTGGTGGAATGTAACTAGTTCAGTTTCTTGAGTACAATTTTGACACACGCACACACACACACACACACACACACACACACACACACACACACACACACACACACACACACACACACACAAACAAAGGTACTCTACCTGTGATGAGATAGCTGATAAGTAACCCAAATGTGTTCATACTGTTTCAGTTTTAGGTCTGATTTTACTCGACCAGACAATATGCCAGTGTTAACTTATTCTAGGGTTGCAATGAATTACTTTCATGATCAATCACTCTGAAGATTATTGTCTCGATTAATCATTGAGTCTGATTCTTGAAGCTCCAGGTAATGTGTCTGGATGTTTTACCGGTTCTGGGTGCAGCATTTATGATTCACACGGTACTAATTGATACATTGTATTTATATTGTGTTTCCTCTTTAAGTTAGTGGTTAGTGGTCTTCTGAGCTACATTAATATTCTCTTTAAAAATATGTGTTTGTGTGGGTGTATGCTGTCTGTGGTGACTGTGAGCTGTCTAACTGGTGTCTCATTTGTTTTTACTGTGCATTAGCGAACAAGCCAGTTCGGCCTCAGAGGATTAATACAGTTATATATAAAGAAAGGGCTGAGCTTGGTGTGTGTGTGGAGAAATACTGTAGACGGTGAAGGTGTGTTAATGTCTCATCACTCTTCACCACCTGAATATCACACATTGTTTACACAATAAAGCCGCTTTTAACCTTTTAACACCAGAAACAAACAGGATATAATGTGTGTGTGTGTGTGCGCGCACTAAATATTAGTCAAAGCCAGGAAAAAATGATCATTTCAGCTCAGTGACTGTACAGGATGCCTTCTGTGCAATCAGATGATCCTGATATATTTCCTGGTAACTGAATGCAGCATGACTGTGTACGCGAAGAGGAGAAATGAGGACTTCACATTGTGTGGGGCCACTGAAAAGAGCTTTATGTGTTGACAGAGCTTTGGTGTTAATGATATTGTTAAGGAATTTGTAGTGTGTTTACAGAAAGTAATCTTTGTTGACACAAGCGTTTTTTTTATTTAAGGGACTAATCTTTGTTTTTTGTCTGACTCTCTCAGTGGCCGCTATGAGGAGTGTCGGGTCACTACTGACTGGCTGCTGTCCAAGACACAGGTGCGGCCAACTGTGGGAATCGTGTGCGGTTCAGGTCTGGGGGGACTGGCTAAGATGATCAAGGACCCTCAGGTCTTCAAATACAGTGACATTCCCAACTTCCCCAAGAGCACAGGTATGCACAAGAGGTGGAAAACACAGCTGTTAATGTAAGTGTCTGCATGTTTGTGGCCTCTAATTAAATGCACTGGGTGTGGGTGTGTTTGCAGTGCATGGTCATGCAGGCCAGCTGGTGTTTGGAACACTAAAAGGGAAGCCGTGTGTTTGCATGCAGGGCAGGTTCCACCTGTACGAGGGCTACCCGATCCAGAAGGTGAGTAGAGGTTAAAAACAGAACCAGTTTAGCTTGTTAAAGGCTTGCAGCGGTGGAAGAAGTACTCAGGTCTTTTACTTAAAGTAAACGTACCAACCACATGTACAAGTACTCTGTTACAAGTAAAAGTAATTCTCTTAAAATCTTACTTAAAGGTCCAGTGTGTAACATTTAAAAGGCTCTATTGGAAGAAATATAATAGTCATACTGCCATGTTAAACCCCATGTTTCTACAATAGGTCCATCCTGCAACTAACTGAACACCACTTGGGCGACAATTTGGGAATGAGAACAGGTTGTGAAGTGTGTAGCAGAAACTACAGTGGCTGCAAAAGTTGTGAAAAACGTGAAAGCCTCCATTTGATTTATCTGTTCTGGGCTAGCGTAGAAACATGGTGGTTCAACATGGCCATCGAAGGCGATCCGCAGCATCTGTACATAAAAAACATCTCATTCTAAGGTCACAAAACACAACAATTCTTATACTAAGGTGATTACACACTAATGAAAACACAACCTATGAATATTATATTCCATTTCTGCCAATAGATCCTCCTAAATGTTTCACACTGTAAGTATTCTAATCAAAATATACACATCCAAAGTAGAGGTACTTGTTCTGTTAGTATTTAATTATATTAAATATTATTATATTGTAAATATCTGTAGTTTGTGGAGAGAAGAAAAAAGTATTTTGGACTTGGATTTTAAGTTCCAGTAAAATTGGATAATTTGATCTCTTTAGGATTCCAACAGTTTTAAATGAAACTATCTAAACAAATCTAGAAGGAAAAAGTTCCATCAACAACTCACAACAAGATCTGAGACATGATGGCGTGGCAAAACTAGACCACCCATTGGTTTAATCTCAATCTCAAATATAATAAGCTGATCAAATATTTGGTTTTTTTATGAAAAAACTTCACTTGAAATTTAACTAGTAACTATATCAGCCAGTTAAATGTAGTGGAGTAAAAAGTATAATATTTCCCTCCCAAGTACCTCCAAAACTGTACTTAAGTACCACCACTGAAGGCTTGTGCAGACTACATAACTTTGCCAGCCTTTTATGTCTCATTCCATATCTGAGACAGAAATCTAGTCTGCGTGAACTCTTTTGCCATGAATGCTTTTCTAGTTTAAGCTATTCAAGCTTGTTGTGAGACGTCCCAGACACGACATTTTAAACATGTTTGATTTTATCACAGCCAAAAACAAGATCCACTGTATGAAGAGCGCCTTAGAGATAAGTGAGAGACGGCACGCAACATTACATGCAATAAAAACGATAAGGGATACAAAGATATGTAATGTATGTGTGTGTCTTTGTGTTCATATATCCTTTTCTAATTACTAAAATGTGCTTCTCTTATGCATGTTGTTTCTCTAAGCAGTCCTTTTTACATGAAAGGGATTGTACAGTTTTCTAGCATTCGCCTTGAAAAGTGACATTTAAAAACTCTGCTCAACAGTTGCCAACTTCCAGAAACATTGTCCCCGTTTCTCACAACAATCCACACACCTCACTGTGCACAGTTTTCAGCTGGACAATTCCTCTGGTGGAAGGTTGTTCCCATGAAAACTGCTGACAGAGAGCTTTGTGGAGTCGCACTGTTTCTGGCGAGAGACGCAACTGTTTTGTGTTTCAAATGTAAATGTAAGATTTCTGGCACATTTCTCAGGCACAAACTTCAGATAAAGAGTTCTCAAAACCCCCTGGACATTCCCAAAACTATTTAGTAGTAGGTGTGTTTTGGGGCGAACCAACCCTTTTAAATTTTGTTGCTCATTCTCTAGATTTGTATTTATTCAGCTGATGTCTGTACTCTGTCACAGTGAGCAGAGCTGGAGATGAGAAAACAACCTGAGGCAGATTAACCAATGCAGTAAACATAGAAATACCTTTTTATAAAGTATTATCATATCAGCAGAATACTGTCAATCACTCCAAGTGCAGATTAAGAAACATGTCCATAATACTCCTTTTTCATGATATTATTATTATTATTGTGCTGATATTACCTTGTGTTCTCCAGATCACGCTGCCCATGCGTGTCTTCAAGCTGATGGGCGTGGAGACGATGATCATGACCAACGCAGCTGGAGGCCTCAACCAGGACTACAAAGTGGGGGACATCATGATCATCAAGGACCACATCAACATGCCGGGGTTCGCTGGAATCAACCCGCTGGCTGGACCGAATGATGACAAGTGGGTAGCGGAGTGGGAGGGATGCATTGTTGTTTGAATGTTTTAATGAGAGCAGATACGGTTGACATAGTTTTTGGTCTTGTAGCTTTTTTTAATACTCAAAATAACCAGTATTTCCTGTCAAAAGCATCATTTTGTCACAGTTAACAGCAGTAGACCATCATGTTACACTACTACAGAGACTAATCAGTCTTTTAAGTGGGGGTTTTGACACACTAAGTGGTTGGTTCACCAGAATTATAACACTGTTTTTCTTAGTAATTGGCCTGAAAGAAAAATGGACTTTTCTCAACAGCTCAAATAGTCTTTGTCATTTGTATCTTGCCTCTGGAGATCAATACAGTTTAATCTTATTTTTCTAGCAATTTCACTTTCCATTCACTGTTCAAATGACTCAGCTGTACCCCGTTTCCCCTCCTCCACCAGTTTTTATTCTTGTGCCCTTTTTCAGTCACAAAACTGCCACATTTCAGCCCCGGAGAAACAATGTCACTGTCAACAAAAGCGCCTATTGTTCTGAACGGCTGCAGGCTAGAGGCACTAAAACACTTTAACATAACTTGTAGCTTCAGAGCAGAGCTGAGTAATGTCACAGCATCAATACAGGAAAACAGACCACTTATACACTGTGTTTTCTTCCCCATGGTGTTCTCAAGAGAACATGAATCAATCTCAGAAACATGGTGCATTACTTACCGTTACCTGAGTCATTTAGGGGAGTTTCAGTATTGATTTTAAACATGACTCAAAACCGTTCTTCTTTCTTCAGGTTTGGTGTCCGCTTCCCCTGCATGTCTGATGCCTATGACCGCAAGCTGCGGCAGCTGGCCCACGACGTGGCAACAGAGCTGGGCTACAGCGAATTCCTGCAGGAGGGAGTGTACTGTGTCCTGGGAGGTCCATCCTTCGAAACCATCGCCGAGTGTCGCATGCTGAACAGGCTAGGTGCTGACGCTGTTGGTGAGTGTCACGTCTCCCTCTCACGCTCTGTCCTTAACCATCACAACTACAAACCTTACCCTAACTCTAACTTTAACCTTAACCTGAACCTGATTTTAATCTTTAATGTCCTTAATCTCAAGGTTCCCCTTCAGGTCATCACAAAAACAGAAGTACAAGAGCACACGCACACACCACACGTACACACAAGGTCTAACACAGTGAGTCACAGGACTAGTCATTCAAAACTTCCATTTTAAGCAATAGTGTTTTTGTAGTGCTTCATGTTCTAATAACAAAATAACCCAGGAATTGCATCACACCAAATACTATTCATACCACCAAATTACAGACTCACACACTTTCTTACAATGTCTAATGTCTGATTATAACCAAAAGAAATGCCTTTATGATAAGGATATGGATATGAGATAAGATATGGGTAATATATATGAGATATGGATAATCAAGTGAATAATAACACAAACCCAATATTGGCATAAAGTAGTTCTGCTCATTGATTTGTAACATTGTCCAATCCGTCCTAATACACCCAGGAATGTTAAAGGGATCGCAACCTTGTCACATGCTGTACGGCAAAGATCTCGGCTGCATAGCGTCTCACCTCCTCTCTGTCTCTTTGCTGCAGGGATGAGCACTGTCCACGAGGTCATTGTCGCCCGCCACGCCAAGATGCGTTGCTTCGCCCTGTCGCTGATCAGCAACCGGGCAGTGATGGACTACGACAGCCAGGAGAAGGCCAACCACGAGGAAGTCCTGGAGACGGGCAGGCTGAGGGCCGAGCAACTGGAGAAGTTGGTGTCCACCATGGTGGCTCGGCTGGAGCACAACAACAACTCCTACTGATTATGAGACTAACCGCCGTACCTGTTGTCCTGCTTTATCTCTGCGTCACATAGAGGGTTTTTTTTCTTGTTAGAACGCTAAAAAAAAACAACTTTTGTTTTAAACTGCCAGGCTAGGTTTACTACTCGATAAACTAGTTTCTTAGCTAAACTTAATTTTGTTCTTTACTAGTCTCAAAATCCTGGAAACTGGTCCACTTTTTTTATACACTCCTCTATCAGCAATGTTTACATTTTTGAGTTGTACAGATAAATGATCTTACTGTACCTTTTAGTACTGCTGTGATACATTATTACCGTATTAAGCCAACTGGTGTTTCAGTGAAACAGCACCATATTTTCTAACTTAATAACTTTTAATTTAATAAAATCGAAATATTTATTCTTTCAGTTACATTCCCTGATATCCATTAACAACTAATATAAAGAAAGCAATATTCACATTTTTAATGTGGAAGACCAAGTCATCAGAAATCACTGTTAAACTGTGGAAATAATAATCTCACATGATGTTTAAGATGTGTAAAATGTTCTAAGATATTTATACTGAATGTATTTAAGTAGCGTTTTTATTGGGTTTGATAATATATCGAGTGTTTGATGGACAGAGTTGAAGCAAGGGATTATATTGTGCATGAGACAAAGTATTTATATGATCAAAATCTCTTTCCATGTCTTATCACTGTGTTAACAAACTGTGGATCTACTTTTACAATAAAATGACTTGAATAATCTTTCTGTGTTCCTCTGTAGTTTTGTCAGTGTGTATCTTCAGTATGAGATCTTTCTCCTATAGACGAGTGGTCTTGAGTCAGTCTTAAAATGAAAAATCCACCCTCAGCTCTTATACTGTAGTTTCATTCTTCTTGTACAAACTTCAATCATATCAAGTTAAAGGTTTCCTATGTCCCACAATGCCATTGTTTTTAAAAGCACCCGTGGAACCAAGGGCAACTGCACCTAGGGCATCCCAGTATCCCAGGTAATTGCACATTTGTTTGATAATACACAGCAATATAGGAGATGTGAACTGACACAAAGACCTTAAAGACTACTAGATGTTCACGGCCCTGTCTCACTGCAAGTGGTGGCATCACATTTCACCAACGATTCCCACTTGTAAGTTGCAGATACATTTGCAAGCCGTGCAGGGCTCTTACACGGGTTTGCCAGTATGCCATTTGTTATGATTGGTGAAATGTGTTGACATTTGTTCAAAAGGAAATCTCATGTTGCAAGCTTTCAGCTTTAATGTTGCAAATTTGGTGAAACCTGGGGCAAGATAGTAATGGAGCAAGAGGAACACTGGTTGATTAAAATATAATGAAAGAGGGAGCACCCTGGTAGCTCACCTGGTAGAGTTGGCTCCCTGTGTGCTGAGTCCACACTGCACGGCCATGGGCTTGACTCTGACCTGTGGCTCCTTGCTGCATGTCATATATGCAGCAATATATATATATATATATATATAAAAAAAAAAAAAAAAAAAAAAAAAAAAAAAAAGTATATGTATATATATGTATATGTATATAGCCGAATTAAGTATAGGCACACTTATAAACTCTGCAAAGAACAGACCTGAATTTTTTAGGCACTTGGTTTTAGTGTAGTAGTGTAGTTGGACAGCTGCAGTGGATTGTTGTCTATTAATGTCGCATTAAGGCTTTTGTTTGATGGATTTCTTCCTGCATCATGAAGGGCAAAATTATTGAAAAAAATCTTCTCTCAAGCTCCTGTGTAGCTGCTGCAAATGCTCTGAAGAAGTATGTGGAAACCCAAAACAATACACAGCGACGTGGTTGTTGAACATGGGCCCTAATCTGCTGCCACAAAGCTCTAAGCACTCTGAAATATAGCTGTAGGGCCCCACCCAAACCATGAAAAACTACAACTGGCCAAAGGCACAAGAGATAAGGGTGTCCAGATACTTTTGGCCATATAAAGGAAAAGGAAAAATACACAAAAAAATCCATCAAAGTGGGCCAGAAAGACAAACTGTACCACTGATCTGTCTCCTAACAGCGCCCGAAGGCAGATATCCCCATCAAAGGCACAACCTGCAAAATCAATGTAAGCTTCCCACGGTAAGAATGCCAACCAATACATCTAGCTGGATCCCACAGCTGCCCTCTGTGAGAGAGAACACCGTCATGATGATGGTTGACATTTTTACTGTTTGTCCTCCATCTTATCAGCCATGTTTACCCTCCTCTTTCTTTACTGTCTATTCTCTCTGATACTCCAGTGTACACTCTGCCTCTTCCCACTTTCTTACCAAAAATACATCCACTGCCACTTGTCCCCTTCCTCCTCCTCCTCCTCCTCCTCCAAAAAAGAAAATAAAAACATTTTCCATGACGCAGGCACCACTCCGTATGGCCATACAAGGTCCTGAGATTTTTATGAGCTGTCTGTTTTACTGCAGCAAATGAGCAGGTCCAGGTGTCCGCACGAACTGTACAGATTTACTGCAGTGAAAGGAAGCAAAGCAAGGTACAGGCAGTGCACACAGTCTCAGCACACATTGCCATAAGTAAGTTCATCTTCTAGTTTGACAGGTTGGGTTTATGGTCACACACACACACAGAGAGAGAGAGAGATATTTAACCTGCTAAACTTACTCAGGATAACTGGTTTGAAAGTATGCACATTATGCTTAACATAAGCTGTGGAATTGTAAGTTGTTTGTTTTAGCTGCTGGTTGTTATTTCAGTGTCTTCTTGGGACAATAAAGTCAAAAGGCACTCACCTGTTTGACAGTTTGCCTTTTACAGCTTCTGATGAGTGTGCAAATACACTTATCTAACACAACTACTACATCAAATGTTAAATTTAAGTCCTGTATTTTTTTAAATTATGCTTAAAAACATTGATTTGACAAAAGTTGGAGGATGACACAGCAGGTATGTTTTCATTACAGCAATATTTAGCAAAAACACCTCCTGTATTTGATAAGCGGAAGCCCCTGAAAGTATCCTCTGTGTTCATAAGGGGAAATCATTAACTTTAACACACCAACCTCTTCCTCTAACACCTTTAAATAACTGTGCGTGTTTGCAGTGAAGCTCAACAAACAAAAACACAGTTACAGTATGATGGCTGCTGAATTAAGCAGGAGAACCATCGTCTGTGGCACGGACCACTACTGTAGGACATACTGTTCTACATGAGTGTTTATACTTGACTTCACTACCTGGGTAACCCACACCAAACGAAACTCATGTTGACCATTTACAATGTGGGAAACAATAGAAATGTATTTTCACACAGACCAGAACACAAAAACAACAGAGGAGCCAACATTTCCTATTAGACATGTATGGATAATGAATCCAGATGAACCAAACCCAGCATAGCATCACTGACACTTTTTAACCATAAGGAGAAACTGGATCTTTAGGCTACAACCTCTACACATCTTAAACCAACATCTTCATTTTACAGGGTTTCTGTTCTGCATGGAGAGGCAGAGGGTGGCAAGAAAAAAAAAAAAAGCAACCGCAAAAAGCAGAAGGCAACATGTAGAATTGAAATGAAGCAGGGATGATGTGCAAGAATGTAGTAGTTGTAAATCAATATATGAAAGGCAGCAGGTCAGGTAGCTACTTTCATGTTTGACAGTAAATAGGATGTGTGAAGTTCCTGTTTCTGTTCAGGCAGCAGCACTGCAGTCATAGTTCCTTTTCTGCACTGAGACGCTTTAAAGGATGAGTTACGCTGCCCTCTGGTGCCGTTTCATCCCACCACAGTGACAAAAATACAGGCCTGAATTAAACCGTTATTTGAATACTCGATGGATTAATTACTTAATGCCTCCACTGTTTTGAGTCGCCCCCTCCCCTAAATATCAAACAGTCCCTAATTTAACCTGCTGGTCGGGTTTGGACAGCAAATAATGTTTAACTGACCTTATATAGCAACTGATATAGGACAAAAACCTAGACGTCAGGGCAGAGCAGGTTAATGAGTGGATTCATAGTAAATTCAATTAATGACAGTTTTGATAAACAATTAATTATCATTTACAAAGCAAGAATGCGAATCCTTCACTGGATCTAGCTGGGAGTGTATCCCGCAAGTACAAACAAAGTGTGACGTCCAAAACTAGAAATATTCAGACCAGCTGCTGATTTGAACGATCCTTTAATATAAATCATAACAAAGGGCAATGGGTTTTTGGGCATACATTTTATGGAAATAAAATCAACTCAGAACAATAGTCAGGTCAGGTTTTTACCAATGTTGACATCCAAACATAAACCTGAGAGGTGCTTCACTGGCTCTGAATGGAAAGCCCTCTTTTGACTGTGAAGGAGAGTTTATGGGGGTAAAGAGCGTCTTGTGCTTCTACAGTTTCCGTGCTGAGATGAAGTAAGGCAAATTTCTAAATGAGAAGCTGAAACAAACTGTGTCTATGTGTGAAGATCAGTATGCAGGTAACTTTAAGAGGAAATCTGCAGGATCTTTTTGTAATGACTCCACATTTTAGACCTTGTCTTTTTGTTTTGTTTTTTGGATTTCTAGCTTTGGAGATGTCTTAAAAATACTGTCTTGTGTGAATTCTGTTGCAATTCAGTTTCAGGTTTTCATAATTACAAGTATGTAAAAAAAAAAAAAAAAAGAAGCAAACATCTTAAAATTGGATGGGTTTTGCATAGTAAAATATGCATTAATATACAAAGTCTGGAAGCAATGCCACAAGGTCCCAAACAAAAAAGCTGCCGCTCACTGGCTTTCTGATTTGGTTTTGGGGGTCATTTGTGTCTTTTCACCTGAGCAACGTCCCTTTAAACATCTCCACCTCTAAACATCTCCACCTCAGCTGTACGTGTGAATGATTCTGTGCCGCTTCAAGTGGTGCATCAGGATGAAGGTTTTTCCGCACAGCGAGCAGCTGTAGGGCCGCTCCCCGCTGTGTGTGCGCTGGTGGACCCTCAGACTGCTCTGCTGCGTGAACCTCTTCCCGCACTGCCCGCAACCGTACGGCTTCTCGCCCGTGTGTGTCCGGTGGTGTATGCTGAGGTGGGACGAACACTGGAAGTTCTTCCCGCACACCGTGCACCAGAACGCCCGCTTTCTCTTGTGGCTTTGCTGGTGCAGCTTGAATTGGTGCAGACGGCCGAACGTCTTCCCGCACTGCGAGCAAACGTAGCCCCGTGCCATGCCGGAGAGAGGTTTGTGGTGGGTGTGAGAGGGAAAGCTGCTCGGTGTTAAAGTGTTGTGCGAGGGAGTTACGGCCGGTCTATCTCCGGCTGCAGTCTCCCTCTCAGGGTGTTCATCTGGCTGCCTCAGATGATGCGAGGGGTTTCTCTGCGCGTACATTTGTTCCTTCTGCCTGTCTTGCTCTGACTGGGCGCCCTGAGGTCTGGGTTGAAAGTTGGACGACTGTGGAACATCCTTTTGATACTCACTGTTGTAGATCCCATTACACGGCCTCTGAGAGGACACCTGCTGGACACCAGCCGACTTGGAAGTGTTGGAAACCACGTGAGCATCAGAATGATCCGGGAATGTGTTGGAATACTCCTCTACCACACTGGAAAAGTCAGGAAAACCAGCATCAATGTCATTACCTTCAATTATGGATGACCACAGTTGATTCTCTCGTTCATCCATGGAAAAGTCAGCAGCAAGTTGAGTCTGCTTCCCTGCACCGTGCTGGCATCCTCCCTGACTGAATCCAGATCGGTTCTCCTCCTTCTCCGTCTTGACAGTGAACTGAAGGCCACTGATGTCTCCTGCAAGCTGACCAGAGTTGTACAAGTCACCGAACTCTGAGGCTTTTTGCCTGGCGACCTCTGAATGGTTCAGCTGACGGCTCTCTCCAAGCTGCTGGCTCTCCGGGGCATTAACTGGATTGGGATATTGTACAGCAGAACCTGCAAGTGACAGGTGTTAGGAAAAGTCAGCAGGAGGCCAATGTAGTTCATTTCAACCAAAAAAACCTTTATTGGGTTTAATTCTTGTTCTTTAACTCACCAATTGGTCCAGAAGAATCACTGATCCACAGCGTCTCGTCTGGACTTTCTTCTTTAATCGTGAATGAAACAGTTGCATCTTCAATCTCCGGAAACTAGACGAAGAGAGGATGTAAAAACAGGAGACCACTATTACAAATACAACAGCCACATTGTGCTATCACACTAGTGCCTGAAACCCAGATTTCTTCAGTAAACTAGATTTTTTTGGGGTCAACTTGAGACATCGCAAACTTAAGACACAACCTGGCTCTCAATTGTGTGCATCTGGGCAGGTAGTGTACCGATGTTTTTCTGTTTTTGTTGCTGAAAATAGGCCAAAAGACACTGAAACGCCCCGTAGAGCTGACAGGGAAGTGTAGAGTGAGGTGACAATTCTCTGTGGATTTGTCATTAAAGGCACCACCACAAGCAAAAGTCAGCTTTAATTAATTATAAACATGTTCCACACCAGAGTCGGCGCTAATTAGACAACATTTCTGGGCTTCCTAATTAACAGCCTCTATGCTGCTTGGCCTTTATTACCCCTGTTTATACCCTTCTCTGAGCATTGGGTTTAAATATTACCACCAACTCATTTGGGGCTTTTTGGGGTCCCTTTGGTGGTCTTGGGGCCCTGGGGACAGTTGCCCACGTTACCCGGTTGGTACTCCAGCCTTTATTCAGGCATGTTGAGGGATGCTGCTGACATAAATAAAAGATTTTGAGTTATAAAAACAACGCAGACCTTCATTTCTCCTGTGGGATGCGGACAGTTACTCCCCACATCAGGTCCTCGGTCCATGTAGTTTTCTGGTGCACAAAAGGGAAAGAAAACAATTAAAAGTTACATTAAATATCTTTAAAAAAGGAGGAAATGTGCCCAATTGCATGTATTGCATTATAACCAATAATAATTTATATAAAATACATTCATTTATGTAAGAATGTGCAGCCTTCCCACAGTGCTGCCTTTTAACTAATTGCAAATGTAATCAGATGTCCACATGATGCCACATTAATATGCACAATACATCAATTGACTCCAGTCGTCAATTAGGAGCCCAGATAAAGGCAGTAGAGGGTCCTCACCGAAGCCACGCTGCAGCTGTGCATTTTTGTTCTCCATCATCAGTAGTTTCCTCTTCAGCATTTCATTCTCGCCTTGCTTTCGGGATATTTCGAGGTGCAGAAACGCACATTTGTCATCGACTAGTTTGGATATCTCTGTCACTGCTGCTTTAACCAAAACCTCCATTATTGAGGATAGCTGGGTTTGAAAGGGAATGCACGTCGCCATGTTAATTCATGCAGAAGTAAAGTGTGCGAGGAGGAGGGGGAAAAAATAGAATAAAAATGGTCCTTCCACTGAGAGGTTTCGTTATAGAAAATGCGAAAACAACCGACGCACTACAACATTTTTTTTACATCCCTGTGTTTCTAGCTAGCTGGAACCTTTTTCTTCCGTGTAGCTGAGGCGTCTACCGTAAAGCCACGAGCAGACGCGCAGAGAAATTACAGCCAACAAGGAAGAAAGGCCTTCACCTTCGTTTGGTAACACAAGGTGGGTGTTTCAGGTAAAAGTAAAGGTGACTTACCTTTTTTTAATGGTCTGTCAGACGACTGTGCAGTTGTATGTGTTGATGTTTTGTGTAAAAAGTGTATTTTAAAATACAATTTACACTTTTTTTACATGTTTTTTACTCTCCAATACTCTAATTTCTGCACCGATAGATATATGCATTTGTCATGCCAGTTCATTTTTTTTATCCCCCCATCTATATATCCCCTTCTGCAGAGGTAGCCTATATTAACTCCTACAATACAAATAAAATCTAAAATACCTAGAAACTTGATTCTGAAGGCCTGTGATTTGTGTCCATTTGATGAAATTTGATCTAAATTAGGGGTCTCTCAAGGATCCATATTGGGTCCTCTTACATCTAACGAATATCTAAAATGTTTACACCTTTTCCAATTATTTGGAAACCCTGGAAGAAGGAGGCAAGGTGAGAGAAGCAACAAAAGAGTGATGGTGTAGGAAGCAGTGCAATGATTTATTTCCATTAATCAATATAAGAATAAGCAGTGCCAGACTCCACAATCCTTAGTTTTGAATTTATTTGAAAATACAAAAAAGCTTCATTATATTCATCTTTTCAAACATAACTCTAACATCTTGTAGAATAATGTGATCACTGTAAAAGGTCATGTGATGCCTGTGAATCATGCTACAACTGGGTGTCAGATTTATTGATCAGTGATCTACTGAATCAAAGCCAGACTGAAAACACTAGAAATAAGGAAGAGAACAAATAATAGGAAGTTGACTCTGTTACACTGTTTTTAAAAAAGGCAACAACACCGCAGTGGCAGGGTTAGGAATTTAATTCCCATGTGAAAAAATGTAGGCACTCATCACACTCAAAGGGTTTTGTGTCACCCTGATGACCGTAGAGAAGCTCTTTCTGTGGGATTACCTGGAGTTTTGTCAAACTATTTTAACGACCTCTTCAAGCGCAGCCGCCTGCTACAAAACAAATGCAAATTGAACCATTCAAAACAACTTACTCAACCAGTTTAATGCCTTTTTAATAGAACAGTTTTCCATGTGCAACACTGAACACTGGCTGTGTTATCTGCTCCATCTGTCATTAACCCTTCATAAAAAATAAACATCAGCCAAATGAAACACTTTTCCAAATTCTCAAGGACTACGGTGACCCTGTGTATCACTGAGGTATTTCAAGTTTCTTTAATTAAACATAATGCACACGTTTCCTACATATGATTTAGTATTAACATACTGTAGTCCCCTTTCTATTCTCTAAGTAAAAAAAAAAAAAAAACAACCTTGTTGCCATGTTTGGTTACAGGGAGGGCTGCTATATTTGAAATGTTGCCCTGACCCCAAAATAATTTGCTTTAAATATGACTTTTAAAGACCGAACCAACAGAATATAACAATATCAAGACATACTTACATGCAGCTTTGAAGGCAATAGTAATTTGAGGTATACAGTGCATTGTTGTATGAGGGTCCGTTCGGTTCAACTTAAAAGGAAGACACTACTGTCCGAATGATTTATCAACAATAAACATCTCTATGAATATCTTTTAACAATGGCTTCAAATCACTGCTTAGAAAAAAAACAGTAGTACCCTCACTGCATCCTCTTAAAATAGGCATTATTCCATATTTTAACATACAGAATATTTGTGTAGTGTTATAGAAACGTCTTATTAAAGCTTTGATGGAACTGACTGATTTATGAAGTATGGCACAGTAGAACTGAATGGAGAAGAAACCCGTCCTATATCTCTAGTTGATATGTTAAAGCCATGAGATTGGCACCCTATAAGTTTGTTCTAATTCGGCCAAATTCCACCTAATACTGTATTTTTAACTTATCATCAAACTCTACCTCACACTAAAGAACATAATAATATGCTGACAGTATATCATGGACGATAACAAGCATGTTGAACTGCAAAATTCTTCCTCATTAGTTGAAATGTAAGGACTCATTTCACCCACTGTATGAGGGGGAGGATTTCTGATTTTAGTTTAACTGAAAAAGACTGTACTCGTGATGAGTCTGAGTAACAGGACGGTTTCAATTGCCACTTAAAAACACTCAACATTGTTGGCCACTGTGTTCAATGTCTACGCCAACAATGCTGAAATAATCTTTAAAAAAAAAAAAAAGGGTCAAAGTGGCAGGAAAACATTTTTTGCAAAGTATTTGAAATGTCAATGTCAAATCAGAAACCTACTGCTCTTTGTTCCTCTTCCTTTGAAAGTTTTGGGACATTTGGGATTTTGTCAAGCGTGAGAAAGTAACTTGTGCACTTGGCCGTGTGACTGACTGCGATGAAGCCTGGTGGAGAAACGTGTCCGGTACAGTATTTTTTCCTTGTTGTGTCCATTACAAATGATTTTATTTTACATGCAGTTTAAGGTGCAATTTCAGGATGCTCATCTGATTAAACATCTTGCCGCATATCTCACAGCCGAAGGATTGCTCCGTGATATTTTTACACTGGTGCCTCTGAAATAGACTGAAACTATCAAAACTTTGCCCACAAGTTGAACATATAAAGCAATTTTGCCTGGTGGTGTCCTCGCTGCAGTTGTCTTCAGGGTCGCCTGTCAGATTAAATTCAAACACTCCTCCCTCGTGAGTCCTTTCACTCACTTCGGTGTACTCAGTCACAGCTACCTCTTGTGGAATATGTGGGTCCTGCAGCTCGGGAGCTAGAGTCATATCGGAGCTTCTCGGCTGCATCCCCATCACTGAATACCGATCACTGAGCATCATTTCTTCCTTCTCCTTGTGGTCTAGAAAAGGGAGATCCTTGATTGGCGAGGTATATCCCTGCTGCTCATTGGCGGTTTCACCAGCAGGACTGAGGTGATACTTGACATCGTGTAAAAGTAGACAGACATTTTGTTCAGTGACATCACCGCTCTTCTCCATCCCAGAGGCCCACAGCTGGCTTTGGTCTGGTGCTCCTGTGTCATTATCAGTCCCTGCCTGGCTTAGAGTCTGAAAATCCTCCCCATTTGGCTCCAGCTTTACCATTACTGTTTGCTCACCAGCTGGCTCGCTGTAGGTGGATCCTGGTAGCTGTTCTCCCAAAGCTGCCAGTCCGGTCTTGGGTTCTGCCAGGTTCTTCAACGGTTGATCATCAGGCATTGTAAACATCAGCTGATGTGCTTCCAGCACATCCGAGTTCTCTCCTTTTTGGAAGAAAAAGGGAACAGAATTAAATGAGTAAATTGCTAAAAGATTGACTTTTCTTGTGCTTTTTATATGCCAGAGTGCTGCTTGTGGGCGAGTTAAAAATGTATCATTTACGATTATAAACTGGCTTAATTCTATAGTTATATTATTGTTTTCTCTTAAAGAGCTCTACTTAAAGACATATACATTTAGAAAACATTTCTATATTTACGAGAACCCACTTTTTTTGTAACATTTTGTAAAATCATCTGTGTGTCACCTGTAGTAAATGCTCTGGTTATTTATTAATTGTATACATCTGTTTTTGACAGTTTTTTAGCTAAAATGCTGAATAAATTCCAGCATCCCAAATGTAAATATCTGCTGGTTTTCTTGGTTTTCAATGATAACAAACTAAAGATTTGGAGTTTGTACTATAACACAAACAAACTGAATATGACCACTTGGACTTAAAGGTGAGGTCCGTCATTCTGGAGAAATATAGTTGATTGTCGAGCCTCATTTCCAGGTCGTCAAATACCAACCATTAACAAAACGTTGATATTTGACGACCCGGGAATAAGATTTAACAATAAACTTTTAAATCTTTCTCCAGAATGACGGACCTCACCTTTTTAAGTAAAATGTTATGTGCCTTTTTATTTCCCAAACAATCATTACTTGCAGCTGCATCAATATCTTATCTGGGAATGACGCCGTTTGTCTCGTACCATTTCTGTGCGTCCTCATGTGGCCCTTGAGGCTGCTCTTCTGATTGAAGCACCTCCCGCAGATGTGGCAGCCGTACGGCTTCTCCCCTGTATGAATTCGTAAATGTCTTTCGAGGTGGCCAGCGCGCTCGAAGACCTTGCCACAGTACGAGCAGACGAAGCATTTCTTTGGTTTGATCACCTTAAAAGACCTGCTCGCTCTCTGGTGGTGGTGATTCAGCGTGGGTCCCGCCATACCGTGCAGTCCCGCTTCACTTGATATCATCAGTGTGTCTGAGGATCCATAGGGCGTTTGGGAGATCATGCTGTTTTTGAGTTCCCCGTATGGTTTCCCCGGAAAGGAGAATGTGCTACAAGAAGCTTCGACCGGTGGCGGGAGCAACTGCGCCATCCCCGGGAAGGACGCCATACTCTGCGCTGTGCTGTTGAGAAACTCTGTGCTGCTGATCTCTGCGCTGTTTTGTCCCTGTAATCTGGACATCCACTGCTGGCTGTCTCTCTCAAATGATGCAAAGTTCTCACTGAGGTTGTCTACTCCTTCCATTGTCTGCTCGCTTCCTCCATGAAACAGTGGTTGTGCTATATTCTCCTCCGTAGGCTCAGATTTTACATGTACGGGTGTTGTCACAATGTCCTCATTCTTAGGTAGGCCATCCTCAGCGTTCATCTGGCTCTCTTCCTCCGGGCGATGAGTTTCAGTACACGGATTCACCTCGGGAATCTGCTTCTGTTCGCCCACGTGGATCTCAACTGGTCTGGTCTGAATGCCTGTTTAAGTAGAAAGAATCATATAGCATCATAAGCATTCTTACCACCCACATCTACAGTAAGAGGTCAACTTTTACACATATGGTGTGGTCATATATGGAAGGTCAGGTCCAAACTAAACGTTCTTCACTTAAACAACCTCATATTCAACCGACAGCTTCTCCATAGCCTTTTAATTTATAGCCAAACCAATCAGTCCATCTGTTTCCCAAACAACCTTTCTGTCCAATAATGAATAAAGTATACACATTTACTGCAACACTCCTGTCCTCCTGGCTGCAACCACTGTCTACGCCACTGACCGTCTCAGGAGCTATTTCCAGCTTTATTGTCAGCAGCATCATTTACTTGCACAATTAGAACAGTGACAATTGACTTTAGGCTATAAATAACTAATCTTTAATCACATGTTGGTTTGGCTTAACCACAAATATCTGATATGTAAAAACTTTGTCTGACCGAAACCTTAAACCCACGCATTTCACTGAGAGGCAGCGTTTTACAGCTGAGACAGGCTTTTCTTGCCTGAAATAAAGACGACTCAGTTTTTAAAAAGCACCCATCAAATGTAAAAAAAAAATATTCAATCTCTATTCATCTGTCCAAATCCACTGTCTGGAAGAACAAGTCATGTCTTGTTTGTGAAATACGCTGTCATTATGATGTATTGTGAGCTTTATAATAGGCTATTGAAGTCTGTTCACTTAAAACAGGAAAGAAAAATGTGGTTGGTTCTCGTTTGTTTGATATTTCTGATAAACTGACAAACTTAAAAGCTGTATCCTCTAAAATCGTAAAAAGAAAATTACAATTATTTATGACTTAAAACAGGAGCAAGAGCAAGGGAGGTGCTGTGTATTATTTATTAGATGTGACAATAGCTGAGGCTGTCATCTTCTAACCAAACTGAACACAGAAAGAGAGGCACCAGAATCTGGGTGGCTCCCCACCTCTTCTCAACAACTTCCGGGGGAAAACCCTGTGAAGATATGTGTTCAATCTTGCATACACGGGCGGTTTTTAGGGGCCCTGCACTGGTGTAGTTTATTGTTATCGGCCGAACTAAACGTTAGTAAAAACACCTGAAGGTCATTTGTTTCACTGCTGAGTGGCATGCACATGAACCAAGATGTGACCCCCAGTAATTAATACCCAATGAGCCTTGCCCTGAGAAGCTGAGAGGATATAAAAGGCCGGTCCTCCTTGTAAGCCACTCAGGCGAACACGGCTGCCAGCGGGGCACTTTTAGGTCACCATCCCCCATTAACTGTCGTCTTGCCTGCATCACACACTGTAGTTTTTAAACTCTGCTCACTGTGACACCGATGAACATCACAGCCAGAGACGTCCAACTATGAATTAAACCAGGACTCCAAGACGGAGGACAAAAATAACACGCGAAGAACGAGCTACAAATGTGTCAGGGAGATTTGGAGGACCTTCAGATTAAAGAGAAATGTATTGCTCCTCCACATCAGCCACAAATCTTTTGAATCTTATATAAGGCCCGAGGGAAAGTCTTCACGCTATATTAACTGGACTCAAATAACTTCATTACAAGTAAATATAAATACTGTACGCTGGCGGAGGTCCAGTGACCCCAGGAAACTGATCCCTGTGAGCCTAACCCTGATCCTGCCCTGCAGAAAACTGCCTCAAACAAGACACTAAAGTCAGAGAATATCGCCTGAGTGCACAGACTCTGGGACAACACCCTGCTTTGCATGTATATCTGACCTAATTAGCACTTAAAAACTGACATGTTTAACACTTTCCTTGCCGTGAGTTTCAGTGGCCAGAGTGCTTTGCTCAAGGGGAACTCTAAACAAGGTTGTTGACAAAAGGCAGATCAGTGCTTCTTGGAGTATTTTAATCATCTAAGCTTAAGCAACCCGTAGACGATGAAGCATTTTACTTACATCTCCTGTGAATCTTCATGTGCTCCGTCAGGCTGCATTTCTGATTGAAACGTCTCCCACATATCTCGCAGCGATACGGCTTCTCGCCAGTGTGGATCCTTTTGTGCCTCTCGAGGTGCCCGGAACGCTCAAAATATTTCCCGCAGTACGGACAGGTGAAGCCTTTCTTGAACATCAGCCTCTTCACCGTCCTCCTCCGCGCCGTGTTGTACGAGTTACGGTACTGGCTGTAACCCAGCAGCCCGCGGCTAAAAGGGCTTTGCTGAAGCCCACCGGAGCCGCTGCAGGGCGCAGCCAGTCCGGCGTCCAGAGGCGGTTCGGAAAGACACAACAAGGAGTTCTGGCCCATGTTTAAATAATCTGAGTTGTTGCATCCTGCCTGAGTTTGCGTCGTCGGTCTCCACTGCGCACTGTCCCTTTCGTACAAGGCCGGTTGTTCTGGTTGTTCTTCACTGCCGTCTTCCACAGGTTCACATTTCACCTGCACCTCAGGTAGGGGCAGGCTGCTTTGGTCCTTATCGGCACACTTTTCAAGCAAGATCCTCTCACCACCAACGTCATTCTGAGCATCTGTGGAAAGGAGAAAATAATGGTAATGACCCACTCACACCCTCTGGTCTACAAGTATCACACACTTTTGGTGCAATCTACAAAACTGCTGTGAGTTTACGAAGCAAAGTGCAAAGAGACCATGTGTTGGAAATAAAGCAGCCACATTGTGCCATCACGACTGTACCTGAAACCAGATTTCATATGATCAACCATTCATCAGTACATTACACCAGCAATATGGGATTTTTGTGAACAAATTGTGAAGTTAGCGTCACATCTGAAGTTGATATGGCAAACCGCAACGTTGGCTTTCATTTTATTTGCGTCAGCCTCAACCGTAAGTCCAATATTAACTCTCTTTCAGCTCTGTTTTTGATCTAGTGGAGTTGCTGACTGTCAACCATTCGGTTCTGGGAAGGTTAATGAGCGACGGCGTGTTTTAGTTTGATGCTCTGTAGACGTCATAGTCATCCTACCCTCAGGGCTCTAATTCCTCGCTATGCCCCATTGTACCAAATTTGCTGCAGTGCTATAGGAAAGGATTAAAGGCAGAACACTGATTTAAAGGTCAAACGTCATTTGAATTATTATAAGAAATGAATTTGCTACAAACATTCAAAGACTGACACATTAAACAGTATTTGTCCACATTATATGTTTGTTAAAATGTTATTATATGTAATAAACTCTTGCTGCTCCTTTTCAAACACCAAGATGACAAGACTTCCTTGGGGGGGCGTCACATTTACAACTGACTGCCAGACGCCTTTTATAGCAGATAAAATGCCGCTGGCATTCAACCACCTTTTTAAGCAATGGTCATGAATGAGATAAATCAGTGCAAGTCTCTGCTCCCTGCAGACAGCCAGAGCTTTGCAGAGGTTGGAGAAGCACCAACATCCTCAAAGGCAAACAAGGTCAGATGTGTGTCAAAGAAAACAGACCTGTGCATGCCTCAGAAACCCTGTCCCCCCCTTTTTTTTTTTTTTTTTTTTACAATCAGAGGTAAGCAGCTACAAAGAGAGAGAAGCCAGAGATGCAGGATGTGCAGATCTCTCAGGGTTAACAGAGCAGATACAGTGTGTTTATGTCTGTGTCTGTTACCATCTCTCCCGTGGTGGTCAGGTCGCAGGGTCACCCTCTCCTGAGCTGATCTGAGCTCGCTGTGCAGCACCTCGACGTTGCTCTTCAGCTTCTGGATCTCGTTCTCACGCTGACACATTTCCAGCCTCAGCACCACCATCCCATCTTCCACAACTTTGGAGATTTCCGCCACGGCCGCTTTGGACAAGGCATCGATTATGGAGGCAATCTGAGCCCGCAGAGCAACGCTGCTCAACATTGTTAAAAAAAAAAATAAAAACAACAAAACCCCCCCCACCCCCCTCCCCCCTAAAAAAAACCAAAAAAAAACAAAGAGACAGGGCAGGGTAAAGTTTACAGAGAGAAAAGTGGCACAAACATCCGACGTGAGGCTGTAATTTAACCGCCCTCAACCCTCACAGGCTGTTGTTGGAGCCGTTTAATGCGCACAGGCTGCGGGTATTGCGCACAGATTGCGGGTATTGCGCACAGACTGCGGGTATTGCGCTGAGCTCGGTGTCGGTTTTCTAATGTGTAGCGCTTCCAGCTAGCTGCAGCTAATTGGTACAAAGAATAAACGCAGGCTCTCGTTTTTACGGAAGTGATGACACAGATACCGTAAAGACCGGACGTAAGGCGCAACGCACATTGGTTCGGTTTACTTAAAGGTCCAGTGTGTCACATTTTAGGAGGTTTCCATTGGCAGAGCTTTATAATAGTCATAGGTGTGTTTTTAATACAGTTGGTACAGTTGGATGTTTGAGCTTCACTGTGCACAATGGTGTCTCTGCAGAGTTTGACTCTAGAAGGATGTTTTCACATTCGTCTGCTGAAAGTGGAAAGTTTCTCTGAGCTCATTGAACATCCATCAGTCCTGGTTCAGTCTGCAACTCACACAAGTGTGATGTAGAAACTTGAAGCCACCAGTGCACAGACTGGGAGACTGGAGTGTATGTTTCAGTGTGTCTGGAGGGGATCCGTACCCAGCGAACGTACAGACATTGCGCCAGTTAAAAACATGCAGGAAATAATCCAAGCAGCAGCAGCAGCCTATAAAATAAAGTAATACAATTTACTTTAAGTCCCTTTTCCCCCTCAACAAAATATTATTTAATGAATAAATCCATGTTCATTAACTAATAATATAGGCAGATTATAATTGAAACAAAAATAAAAAATCATAAGGAAAAAACTAGTAGGCATCTATTACACTTATATACTCATATTTATACTAAGTATTTATAAAAATATGAAATTAAAGTTGGAACTTTTAAGACAAAATGGAAAGAACACAAATTGGGAACATTAACGTACTTTAATGTCACAAGAAAACAAATCCCTAAAGACAGATTTAAAATTAAGTAGGAATATTAAACGATAAATTGTTGCATAGGCACACACCCTCTCCCACTTCCACATCACCTTTACTTTGACACACTTAGATCCTCGCCGGTGCACCCAACGGTCTATAAAAAGGCCACATGTTAAATAAACATCACTTGTGTGTAATCAAGGTGTGACAAGTAATTTTAGATTAAATACACAGTCTGTATCTGGAAGATTCAACATTATGAAGACAAAGGAATATTACAAAAGTGCCAGTTAGGGAGAGGAAACCAGAAACTTTCCAAGGCACCTGAAGTGAGGATATCTGCTGATACAAGTACTGATCTGATACCTGTTGTCTTTTGTACATAAGGTAACATGAGCCTAGAGAAACCCATTACGTGGCATTACAAAAGGTATCCAGTGAGGGTGTGGCTGGGCGATATGACAACATAAGTAGAAAATATAAATTTGTCATTCATCAGTAATTCTCTTTAATATTTCTGTGTGTATTAGATCAATGATTCCCAACCTTTTTATTCATATGAGCCTTTAAAACAAAGCCTACTTGTGTCACTCTGCTAGTTCCAAAAGTGTTTAACATCAAGGCTCAAGAGGTTAAACTCATGTAAAAGTTGTAAATAAAATAAAAATAACTTAGTAACCATCTGATGACATTCATCTTGTGACCCCTTGTAGAGGAATTAGACCAGAGTTCGTCAAACTTTTTACACCGCATATCTTCTCAGAAAATATAAAATATAAGGCAACCAGTGCCACCATTAACACTGATGTAAAAATACACTCGTTGACTGTTGAAGGGGGGGGTAGCACTACCACTGGCACTTCAACTCTTCCAAACAACTCTCATGCACCACAAGGTGTAACTAATCACGGACTCCTCGTGCAGGAACGTCACTACGTCGCAGGCAGATATTGAGACAAAAACATTACAGGAAAGGCAAATCTTACTTTAAATTACATTTCAGTGATCTTCCTAGTTTAAGTATCTTCATTCAAAATGTTGTATTATTATTGTTTTTTAAATTAATTTTTACTCTTTCAGAGATTCCTCCACGTACCACTAGAGGGAGGTCACACACCTCGTGTACCATATGAGGACCAATATATTCGACCACTGTGGGTAACCTTGTAAATCAATAAGCAGCGTTGCTTTATGGCAGTGCTGGATTTTAACTTACTTTGCAATCAGTCAAGTATTCATTTGCTGGATTAGGCAAAAACAGACTAGTATAAATAGACTTTCTATAAAATGTAGTATACCACAATATACATCAATATCGTAATATAAAACGTACATATATTATAACAGTGGATTTTATCCATATTGCCCACTCCTTTTTTTAGGTACAGAAAACCTGTTAATCCAAGTGAAATTTTTAAGAGGATGTCTGTAAAATTAATGGAAAGTCAAAATGAAACATTTTCCTTTGGCAGTTTGTAGCTTGTTATAAACTGTAAATGTACTGTGTTCACTTAGAGTAATTAATAAATCCCACACTTCCATTACAATGATAAAGAATAAACAGATGCATTGCCTCGTCCTCACAGAGAGAAAAATAAACTGGTATGTCTGAAAATGAGTCTGTATGTCCGACACATGCAGTACAGTGGTTACAACCCATGGTTTGAACAATCCTGCCACGCAGACAGTTCACAGTGGCATCCAATGCATTAAAACTGTCAAAGTTCACTGGCGAGATAAATAAGTGCTTGTGCAAATTCTCCCAGTCAGAGCCCCCAGCATCTGAGCGCTATCTTCCCTGCAGGTGAATCTCTTGATGTATTTTGAGGTTACCCAGCACAGTGAAGCTTTTACCACACTGTCCACAGCTGTACGGCTTCAGCCCGCTGTGGAACCGCTCGTGTCTCAGGCAGTTGTCCTGCCTCGAAAACATCTTGCCGCAGATTTTACAACTGAACGGCCTCTCGCCCGTGTGCACGCTCTGGTGCGTCTTCAGCCGGGTCTTCTGAGTGAAAGATTTCCCGCATTCGAGGCACCTGAAGGGTTTAAAGGGTTGGTGGGTGGCCCTGTGCTCTTCCAGCTGAGACAAGCGGGGGAAGCCCCTGTTGCAGACCGTGCAGATGAACAGTCTCTGATTCGCTCTCCAAACGTTCATCAGCCTTTTTGCTCTCAGGCTGTTTCTACTGAGGATGTGGTCTTCCGTGTTCGGCCCAAACGTTCCTGCGGTACACCTCTGCACATGAGGAGGGGCCAGCGAGGGACCAGCCTGTTGAGAAGCAGACTGCAAGCACCGGTCCTGACCGACTGCAGGGAGCGAAGCGTGTCTGAACTGTTCGTCGTGGCCAGACTCTGAAGCGGTACTTTCCATGCACATAGGTCGAATCTCCACCTCTACTTTTATCGGCACGCTTAAGGAATCATCTGCCGTCCCCTCTGCGTCAGTTGATGAAGCGTTAAAGGAACTTTCTGTGTTCCTATGAGCAGCATATTGCTCCACGTGAGGGGGGATAATCTGTATGCGCTGCTGCATTGCAACAGAGCTTTTTTCAAGCATGCTACAAGCGGGAGGAGGCCAGATCGGGTCGCCTCGTTCTCTCGCCTCAAAGCAAACGTCTGCTGCTGCTGCTGCTGTGTTGTCCGTTGTGTCCTGGGTGGCAAGTTCATCCGACGGCTCGTGTTTCACCGCTGGCCTCTCGTCACGACTGTCCTGTGTTTCAAGTCGAGGTTCACAGACTGAATCAGCAGTCTCTGGTTCAAGATACACGGCGCACGTTTCCTGGTCTTCTTTTTCATCTGCAAGTCACGCAAAGAAAATACACATTAATTTGATTCCACAAATGCAAGTCGAGAATGCAAGAACACAGCAGAGTGCACATTTTCAACTTGTGCATAAAAACAGCTGGACGGAAATACAGAAAGGTTTGGAAAAATAACTTTAAATATTGAAAAATATATTTTTACGCTTGGCTGATTTGCAGAAGTTGGTATATCAATAAAGCAAAATGCAACAAAGTGCAACGGACACACAGTTATCACTTCACTGTAGAGCCGAAAAACAGTTTCCATCTTCTTCTGTAATGTCTTATTTGCACTACATTTGCATGGAGAACCTGGAAGTTATTCATCAGAGCAGTAAAACCCTCACAGCTATTTACTTACCCGGTTTACTGGAAGTCTAATCCCATCACTTGTTCTGAACCGTAAAGAGGAATTTCTCATCGGTATATAAATACGTCCACTGCTTCAACTTACTACAAGAAAGTCTCTCTACGTTCAGTCAATGTTCGAGCTGAGATGATGAGTTGACTGAAAACTCTTCCTTTTTTTATTGTAAGTTAGTTCCCTTTATAGACGTTAAACAATTCATCAATTAGTAGATCTACGTAAAGATTAATTGGAATCTATTTTTCTATCATTCCCTGCTTTCATCTTTTCAACTGGGAGGATTTGCTGCTTTTCTTGGACTTGTGTGATGATGAGTGCATGTTTCTATTTTGGACTGTAAAAAATAGAACTGTAAAATCATGGGGTAGCAAGAAATATAAGCTGATTTAATGGCAAACAAACATATATTAATATATAGCATGGAAAAGCCCTTAAATGAAGTTATTTGAACTCACAAATATTGTTGTTTCACATTAGTAAAGCAGTTAACATTAAGGTCATTAGATTGAGAGCATTAGAAATCAATAAATTGTTACCAAATTTTTCTAAATACATGTTTTTTTGTTTTTTTTTTGGAACTTAAGTCTCTCATAACAGATAATTTAATTAATTTCCCTTATTAAACATCTTATTTTAAAAGATGATGTGTTAAATTTGACACCAAACCGGGATGGCCAGGAACTTTTTTTTTATCTAGATCCGCCTCTGTTCCAAGTTTCATGATGACTTGTTTTTCTCCACCTCATCATCCTAAAATATAATGGAAATTAATGGATAAAACAAAACAATAAATGAGTGCCTATCGGTATTCAACGCACTCCCATTTAAGCCGAATTTAACAGAAGACTATAAAGAATCATAAGCATCATAAATTAAGTGATACTAACCACAACAGGTTGTGTGTAATAAAGAAAAATGTGAATTTCCCATTTTTAGACTGGAGTTTGGTGTGACCGCGTCTTGCTCCTCACCTTTCTGGAGGACCTGACTCCCGGCTGCTGTTGGCTCCTGCGCGTCCTTCGTAGCTCGACTCGTGGCTGCTTCTTCTTGAGCTTTGCAGAGTTCAACCTCCATCCGCTTCAAACTTCTCTTGAGCTCCTGAATCTCACTGTCCCTCCGACACATCTCCAGGCGCAGAACCACGGTCCCGTCCTCCACCAGCTTCGTTATTTCGGCGACCGCAGCCTTCGCCAGCACGTCCATGATGGCTGCGACCTGCGGGCCGAAAGAGGGCGGGAAAGACATCCTGCCGAAGGGACGATAAAAAACCCACCCAGGAGGAATAAATGTCACGCTTTATCAAACAGCACAGCTTCTGCAGTGAGGCGAAGCATCTTTCCAGCTGTTTTATTTTGGTTTACCTCCGGGAAAAACCAGAGGGCGGATGTGACGTAGCGGGTAACTGCCGTAACTCTTCTGATAAACGCGAATTAGAAAATTACAAATTATTTCTCTCTCTCTCTCTCTCTCTCTCTCTCTCTCTCTCTCTCTCTCTCTCTCTCTCTCTCTCTCTCTCCTGTTTTAGTTGTTAACCATTAAATATTTAATATTTACACTGTAAAATAGATTATCTTTTAAATAATGCGTAGATATTTTTATGTGAAAACTCCGACCAGCAAATTCTCAAAGTAAAAACCAAAGTATTCAAAGTCTAATTTAGACACTTGGACAACATTGCAAGGCCATAAAAACTGTAAACTTTAAATGTGAAAACTTCAACCCTCAAGTGGCATAGGCATCAGTTAAATAACTAATGTCTAACGATGTTTTATGCACTTTGTTGTTTAATTTATTTAATATGTAATATTAACATGTAAACAAGTCACCTGTTATAATAATAGGTCAGACACCATTTTGGAAACACATTTTTATTTACATTATTCAGAATAAGCCTTTTGCAGCCATTATATTTATAATAAATGATACATTCAATTCAACACCCCTTGCACTTTTAAATCTTGGCCTGCTTGACTTTTTTATTATACATACTGTGTATATATACATATACTTTATATAATTACAAAGTATTGTATAATTAGACTAGTGCAAACAGAAGCCAGCTGGATTTAAGACTAACTTTTATGCTTTTGATCAAAATCAGTTCAGTCAAATGATGGGATGTTTTTGTTTTACAGACCTGGAAGTTACAAAAGTTCTGGGTTGAAATAGAAAAAAATAGATATATTGTCAACAGCAGCAGCACTTCACCTTTAATACCGTCTGCATGTTTGCTTTCAGTCTCAGTTTTATTTAGCAGGAAGAGCAATTGCTGGGTTGCATTTATTAGCCTCCTGACCGAGGTCAACAACTAAAAGTTTCCTGACTGCACATTAAGTTCGCACATGGCAGAAAAAAAACCAAACCTAAACATTTTTGGTAGCACTGCAGAGACAATACTGTTGTTGTTATTTACAGGAATTGGTATCAGTACAGGAGAAACACTTCCCTTTGTGCTGCATGTATACAAATAGTTTGTACTGTCAAATGTGTTTAAAACAACATACAGCCAAAAAACAAACAAACAAAAAAAAACCCTTCACTGTACTTCATTACCCCACTCCTTCTGCCTCTCCTTCTCCTTCTCCTTCTCGCACTCTTTCCCTTTTTCTCGCCTCATGGTTGCTATGGCGACGGCCTCGTCAAAACACATGCTGAGTGGACTGTTTCGGCGGGTGTCCCTCAGGGGGCTTTCATCCCCGTCCCTTCTCCTTTCCCACTCTTTCTCCCCTCCCCTGTGCGTCGGCTTCTCCTTTTTCCCCCTTCCCTCGTCTCCGTCCTCTCCGTCTTTCCCCTGTTCTCCTGCGCCAGCTTTGTCCTGCTCTGTCGGGACCTTAAGGGTGTTTTCTCTCCCTCTGTCTGCGTCTCTCCTGTCTCTTTGCTGCTGCTGCTGTCGGAGGGTCAGGGCGGTGAACTTGCAATGCTGCGGCTTCGGAGGGACGATCGGCACCGCTTTTACTTGGTAAACTTTTGGATGTTTGGAGATGACCAGCTTCCTTCCTACTCCTCCTTGGCCGCTGTCACTGTCTTCACACTTTCTGCCCTCTTTCAACACCTTAATATCAGACTTCACCTGTTTCACTTGTTCGTCTACTCTTGGCTCATCAGCTCTCTCTTTGTCATTCTTATCTTTTTCTTGTGAAACCACTTCTTCTCTGTCATGATGCTGTTCTTTGTCGTTGACGCAGAGCTTCCCGTGAATTGCTTCATCATATGTGTTTGGTAAGTGTGTCTCTCTTTCCTCAAACTCTTGCTGCACCTCTTGGTCTGTGAGCTTTTCTTCGTTTGTCTCCATTGATTCCTCCACTACCTCTATACTAACTTCCGCCTGGTTTGTCTCTCTTCCGTCAGCTTCTATTTTCTCTTCTGAAATCTTTACCATCTGTTCTTCCTCCACTCCAACTTTAACATCTTCAGTCGTATCACTTTCTTTTGCATTCTCATTCTCAACTTGTTTCCTTTCCTCGTCCTCTATGACTTCACATATAACCTCCTCAATTTCATCCCAAATTTTATTGCTTGTTCTACAAATTGCACTATCCTTGCCACCTTTCTGCATCTTTTCTTCATGTTTTATGTCAGCTATTGCGTTATTGCCTTCCTCCCACGTGTTCTCATCACTTTCTTGTACTTCCAGAACCTTTTCTTGACACCTGTCCTCTCCCTCATCGCTGTCTCTCTCATTCGTGTCCCCTCTAACACAGGGTCTGGGCAATTCTGTTATCTTTACAGAAAAGTATCCGGACTCCTCTAATGGAAGGTCAGCCATTTCTTTCTGTGTGCCACAAGAAACTTCTTGGATAGGTGGATAATCATCATCCTCATCCTTCTCCTCCTCGACCGTAATGTCAGCCATAGTGCTTGCTTCATCATCGCTCGGCAGTGGAAACTCAGCACCGCAGTGTGTCGATGCCTCTGAAGTGAGATCTTTGTCACTTTGAGTGTCTTCCATGGCACTGCAATCTTCCTCTGTCGCTTTGCTGCAGATGGATGACAGATAGGAACATTTAAGACATAAAAAAAGAGATTTCGCTGGTTGGAAAATAAAGCTTCAGTGCAGTTTTGATTATATAATCAAATATGTGCAAAACATTGTGCAAACTAAATGAGATCTACTTTTTGCATTAGTACAGTAGTTATTTGATTATTTCAAATTCTACAGATACTGCCTTTAAAGTAAGACTATATTACTTTTGCGGTAGGTAAATGCGGGACAACGATAAATGCTAAAACTCTAAAACATTTTGTTAACTGACCATGATGTCAGTTCCGCAGAAATATGTCTCTGACGTTTGCTAACATTAGTTAAGATATACTAATGCACCACAATAAGCAACTGGTCATACCGGACCAAGTAAGGTAGCAGCGGCAAAACCTTTGAGTATACTGAATGGAGCACAAGTGTGTTTTATTGTCAAAATACGTCCATTAAAATTGCTTGTTTTGTTTCCCCTATAGTTAGTCTTCCTGTAATTTGAGTAAGAGTAGTTCATCTTCTTCAAAGTTTCGATTACAGTCTTCCTGAAAGCACCACTCCTGAGATATTTTAGAATGAGACTTCTTCCTTGAGTGAGACTCAACACACAGCGATTCAAGCGAAAGGTACAGAAAATGTTTCATTTCTCTGTACAGTTGTGTTGTCTGACACTCTGAGCTGGTCGGTAGCAAAAACAAGAACTTTAAAAGGACTATTCTGACTTTGCCTAGTCTGTTTTAGTCTGTTTCTCGGCCGCCGGCTACAGCACTCTCACTCAGTGAACCAAATTCAAAACTTGTTGTACCCATTAGCCAATTTGATAGAAAAAATGTGCAGGTTGGAAAATATAAAAGTAACCCTTTAATTTGGAGTTGAGTTTCTGGCCACCTGACAAATCTAAGTTCAATATTTATTCTCCTTGTAACTGTTTTTAATGTCTGGCTCTTTAGCTCCTAAATGTTCCACTATGTTATCCAGCTAGTCACTAACTTTGTTCCAACTTTGAGCTGAAAGATGTTAAATTATTTGTGAGTTCATCACTTTAAGCTACTTTTCAGATTACATGTAGTTGTTCGATTGTTGTATCGATAAAAACATTGGTTACAGCAGCTTTAAAGGTGCATTCTGTGATAAATACTTTTATCAGTAAAGCCTAAGACTGACAGAAATGTACTTGCATGATAACAGGTTTATTATACATATTGTGTTACTTATTCAAATGTCAAATCAGTTTCACCTTTGCCAGTTGTTTTCCGGTTGGTCTCTTCCCTGGTGAACTTTATCTTCCGCTTCCGTCTCTGTTATCTCCTTTTCTCCCACTCCATCTTCATCTTTGTCTTTCACTTCTACCTGCTCCTGATCTCCAGCTTTTGAGTTAGAGTTCAGTGACTCGCAGCCGCTTTCCTCAGAGCTCTGTAACTGTACGGGAACTCCATCAAGAGTGCAACTGTCTTGTGTATCAGTGTCTGGTTCAAATCCGGTCAAATTGTTTAAAAAGAAATCACAGGGGAGGCTTTTAATAAACATGCTTTCATCCTCGTCATCATAATCATCATCATCACTGTTGTCCCCGGCCACCTCCTCCTCCGAGCACGACTCCTCTGGTCCGTGGACAGGTGAGGTCATGTAAGGCAAGCTGAGGGATTTAGTGTGTCGGCTGTTTATGTCGAGGCTGAGCGGTCTGTGAGGATTCAACTCGACCGGACTGAGAGCTTCAGGGCCCGGCTGCGGGTGTGTGTGGAGCTCTGCAGGATGATACGAAGGCGGAGCTTGCGCCATAACTTCATACTCATCGTCTGAGTGGCCGGGAGGTTCCACGGAGAACTCGTTCACCTAACGGGTAAAGAGAGAGAGGAAGTGAAAAGGAAGGTGAAGGAAGAGATGTTTATATTTTCTCTTGTGCAAACCTCCTATCTGTTACCCCAAAGAAATACGTTCTACCTTCAAGTACCGCTCACAACCTGCAGATAAACAACACACACCTGGTAATGGACACTGCAGTCCATGTGGTCCAAGACGCTGCAGTCCATTTGGTCTAGAAATTCAAAGTTATCTTGGACGTAGCCGGACAGCCCCAGGTCGTCCCCCTCCACTTCAGTTGAGTTGAAGATGTCGGAAGTATCAGACACATTGTCATCGTCATGCTCAGGAGTCACCTCAGGCACCCCTTTCAACTCTTTCATGTCTGTAAATGAAACACGGGCTACGATTAGAGATGAGCTTCCATTATTTACATCCACAGTCAACGCAACAGAATATATTTTAAGAATGTTTAATTTAAAAGAAATCACATTTTACGGTGAGTAATGGTCACCATCACATTACAAAGACATCAGATGTATCACAAATGTTGTTGTATTTAATTTCAAAATGGTTCTCTACTGTTTGTAATTTGATTTATTTGATTATCTATTAATCACTTAAAGAGGAACTTAACAG